GTTTATTTGAATCAAACAAATCATTTTAGTTGAACAATACGAAATTGAGTTTTTATTCAGATTAAAAACTTTTCTCTATTTGAGGTTTCATTTATACTAAATGAATGTTTTCTAGAATTATTAATAGAGCTTCATTTGATCCAAATGAATTCTTCATTAATAATAAATGGAGATTTTTCGTATATTAAAAAAATTCTTTATTTGAATCAAATACATTTGTCTGTCGAACTTAATAAAAATTTATTTGATACTAATAATTTATCATCACTTTAAGATTGAAATTGACTCATAAAAAGTAAAAGAGAAAAATGCAATAATTATTAGGACACGTGAATATAATTGAAACATAATTTCGATTTTCCTTCCCAAATCCACGAAAATGTTATTCTCTTCAAATATGACCTCTTTATTTAAAATGAATAATTTGTTTATTTGATATAATTAAACTCGTTTTGAATCAGGTAAAAAAATTAAAATAAAGATTTTTATTTGCTTCAAATGAACCATTTTTTGGGTCCAAGAAAGAGTTCGCTTTGCAAGTCTGAATCTTCCGATGAACCCCAGCATTCAACATATAGTCATCGCCGATTGCGATTGAGTCATCGTAAACACCAATTAGTAAACATAACGTCAAGAACTTCGTTCAAAAACCTGGCGTGCACCCAAAGGAATTGTTTATCCGAATTATATGAATTACATTTGCAGATAAATAGAGGATTCATTTCAAATAAACTAATGTTATTGCAGGATTTGTTAATTTCACATAATCCAACAATTTCCACTGGAATAAATCCATGAGTTTATTAATTTTCTTTATTTTTATCAAGTTCATTAAGTTACTGACCCTCGTAACCCATCGCCTGACCCTCGCGACCTTAAATCTGACCCTTCTGGCCCTTATTGTGACCCTCATGACCCTTAATTTTGGAGTCTTAATTTCGATTACCAAATTTTCATCACGAGAAATCGATTTGGATTTTTATAATATAGACAGATATGTGTCTGGTTACATGCTTTCACATGTTTTATTCCAAATACAATATTCCATTACGATCATGAAGAATAAAAACAAAATATGAAGCTGAAACTAGCGAAAGATTCGACAGCAGAAAATTTGTCTTAGGCGCATCTAGAGATGTACAAATGTTTTTAAATAAGTACAAACTCTTTCGCACTTAAAAAACATTTGTACATATGATTATTTGAGTCTCCAACACTTGAATATCCTCTAAATTGAATTTTCCACTGACGAATATTCTGCTAGATTCAGCTTCATAAACAAAATAATTATTTTACCAATTATTTTACTTGATTTAAATGCGCCATCTCTTCTGTACATATGATTATTTGACTCTCCTACACTTGAATATCCTCTAAATTGAATTTTCTACTGACGACTATTCTGCTAGTTTCAGCTTCATAAACAAAATAATTATTTTACCAATTATTTTACTTGATTTAAATGCGCCATCTCTTCTGTACATATGATTATTTGACTCTCCTACACTTGAATATCCTCTAAATTGAAATTTCCACTGACGAATATTCTGCTATTATTTTGTTAATTTCTGCTGAAACAGCTTCATTACCAAAATAATTATTTTATCAATTATTTTACTTGACTTAAATGCGTCATCTCTGTGGGTGTACTCCCTCAAAATACCTTGAACGATCTACATCCCCCGAGTAGACATAAAAATATGACTTGTTTAATTGTGCATCACAACTATATTCCGTCCTTCAAGTTCACTCAGCGATAAATTTAGCGAGTGGACAGTCACCGCACACCACTCAAGCTCTAAGCAGAATACATCCCCCGTAAATCGCGAGAAATGTACCTCTCGGTCTCAAATCCCCAAGAAAAACGTTGAATTGTTATTTCACCCTCGTACCAAATAGGGGAGGAACGTGGGATAAATTCGAAACTGTCGTACTCGATGTCCGCTACAATGACAGCGGATGCGGAAATGAAGAGCGGAAAGGGGCGCAAAAATGTATTCACTTCAAAAACAATAATCTCAATGTTGAGACAGCGAAATATACGGGAATCATTCTATCGTGACAAGAAATTGTGGTATTCGGATCACATGATTGTCATTCATGTTGTATTTAGGCATTTCCAAGTGAAGATACGGAAAAACAACGGGGAATTTTTATTTTCATGAACGATCTTCGGGAAATTTTTGTCTTCATGAATTAATTCACGTATTTATGGTAGAAGAAATGCGTCGTCCAGTGGAATGGAATATTTGTTCGCTTTGAAAATCAGTATAATGTTCATAAATTCAATGAGACTTCACCATATTCAAGTTATTGGTGAAGATTGTTCGTTCGATCACTGATATTTGACAACTTTTATGCGTTCGAAAACTGAACAGTTTGCCCAAGATCCCCAGGGGGCCTATCACGAAGAAAACCCGGAGCTTTCGCGTCTCATGATAAATTGAAGACAAATGAAAACAGAGTGAATTTTCCATTGTGTTTTCATTTGTTTCTTGTTCACTATGTGATGCCAATGCTCCGTTTTTTCTTCATTATAAGGTGAATGTATGCTCGTCCCTGTCTCTATGCTCGTTCAGATGTGAGCAATAACATTTTAATCATTTTGACAGTCCCAAGAGTCTGTCAAGAGTAAAATACGATTGGAGTTATTATTTTAGTCAATAAGGAGAGTTATAGACAACAATGAACAGTGATTTATTGAAGAATAAGAGAGAAAAATCCCATTCACATCAACCGGTGCTACGACAGTGAATTCTTAAGCCGCAAGTTGAGAAACTCACAATTTGAAAATGTTGATATCTTCGTTATAATAGTAAGATGGGATTAAAATCCCTTGACTGAGGTTTCGGATGGTTAAAAAAACAATAAATTTCATAAATTATAGTAATATCTTAATATTTTACAGAAATGTCGGCAATTAAAAGAATAGGTACAATGGAAATGGCATTGATCCTGTGCTTGTTTTGCAATCAACTGTCAACTGGTAACGGACTAAACGGATGAAAAAATCATTTAAATGGTTGGACTGTCCAATTGAAATATAATTTTGTGCCTCGAGATATTTTTTAATGTTGTTTTATCCCAAACAGGATACTCACGATGTAATTAGTTCGGATATAATCTTTCCATATCATTCAAATCACGAGACGAGGATAGGGACATGTGTCAAACGTCCATGGGGACAAATGAGCGAGCGTAGGGACATGGGACTTTCCACGTTTACGGACGATTATTTATTAAAAAATAGTCATTATCATGATTAATATAAGTGCATTCTAATTCTGAAGTTTTTACTTTCTGATATCTAATTTAAAATATCGCATCTTTGCACTCATTTCAATAGAAATATTGGACTGATGATGTGCTCACCTTAGCTACACGAGCGTAGGATCATTTACCTTGGGGTGGACAGACTACTGTTCGAACCCGTCCAGTGATCGAATTAATTTACATATTCATCATAGAACAAATGGCTAAACCAGTGGAATGGAATATTAGCTCCCTCCAAAAACCAATCTAACATTCATAAAGGCAATAAGACTTTGCTTCGTAATTTTTACTTCAAATAATTTTTTTCTGCTAATTAAAACATTCTTGAAGGCATGGAAGCCATGATATCACCATTTAGGTGATTCTTTTATCTAAGATCCTACCACGAAACTCTAATTTCCCTTAAGGGGTGACAGAATGCCGCTAATTTTCCAAATTTTATAACAAATTTCCTGCCGAAAGTTAGTGATTATTTTACAAATCGAAGCATCTTAATCTGCAGGAGGCAATAATGCAGATCAATGTGCTTTGGGTTCGAAAAATATGAATGACTTTGAGCAGGAAATTTGTTTGGAAATTTCGAGGAAACGGCGGCACTTTGTTACCCCCTAACCGTCTAGAAATTGGCCTGTTCACCCTCATTATCGATTTTCAGGTCCATACGGCACTGAAAAAACTAGAAAATTTTGAAAATTCAGGCAACAACTTTTCTGAATTCTCAATTTATTGAAAATGGTATAGTATGTGATGTTCAATGTTCACGATGAGTTTGGAAACTCAAGATTTCACTGAAAAATCAATGATTGTTCACCACGAAAACCCCTATTTTCTTGAATTTTCAAGATAAATGAGAAATTTAGTGAACGCTTTCACACTGTTTGAAAAAAAATGAAATTTCATGGACAATTGACTACTAATTTTCAGGACAGTGATACTGAATGTGATTTAGGGAAAACAAAGTCATGAAATTTCAGGTTTCACAGAAAATTCAGTAAAATTCCAGTATTTCAAGCAGCATAAGCAGCATAATGGGCGAAAGCACTCAACCGATTGAGACACATAATTATATTGATCCCAAAATTGTTTGCTTGGAATCACATCTTTGTACTTACAAGAATCTACAATATACGGGCGAATGTACATTCTATAATTTGTTAAATAGGGAGTGTTTAATGAGTCTTTACCTGATTTAAATTATCATTCCTACAATAAAGACGAGAGTTCCTTAATTTATTTGAATTTCCAATCTACTATGGATATTCAGTACCAAATCACATTGAATTTTCAATGAAATCTAAAATTTCATGATTTTTTCCCCCCTAAATCGCATTCAGATCGCATTCATTTAAATTTACCGAAATTTCCTGGTTTTCTACTCAATTTCAGAGAAAAATGGAGCTGAAATTTGCAGTTCTCTCTGATTTTTCCACGAAATTCCGAATTTTCAGTGACGAAATCCCTTCACATTTCACTGTCAATTAAATTTGCCAAAAATTTCACAGAAAGTGTACCGGAAATTTCAGACAAAAATTGTTACCAGTGCATTCGAAATTGAGTTCACCCTCACATCGAAAATCCAGATGATGCTGTGCCTGAAATTTCAAGAAATTTCTAACAGTGCGAGCACGTTTCCCCCTGCACCCCCTTCAAATTCCACAACACCCGACCCCACAGCATTGTTGACCCACCCTCCCCGCAAAACAAACAAACAAATCCAAAAAACTTACATTCCGTCGACACAGCATGTCCCCAAGTCCCAACGACACAAAACGTGAGTAGCACCGATGACAGGGCCACAAGGAGCCGACCCGGTGGATCCCGCCGCCCCATATCCACCCCCAAA